TGAAACCACAATAACTTATGACCTGGCACATTATACATTCCGAGTATTCATACTGTTATAGTGAACTAATACTACTTCTTATTACAATCATGCCAAGGGCCACACTGCAAAAGGGGGGGGGACCAGCTAGATGACAAAAGGGATTGACTAAAAGAGCAAATAGTGGCAACACCCCAAGATTTCTTTCCAAGCTCAGCAGCAAGAGAGAGAGAGCTGGTTGGTGGCCTTGAAGTCACAGCTGCCAGGCTCTGAACCACAGAAGCCAGACACTGGATGTTCCAGATGGTGTCTGTTGGGCTGATAGGAAAGCAGACAACCTGAGACCTCTTCCAAGAGCCCGTTGTGATGGCGACAGGTCTGAGTGCCAACCAGAAATGCCTGCACCCGGGTGGCTCTCCTCCAACATATGTCCCTGTGTCTCCTCCACTTGGAATCAGACGCCCAGCTTGATGGCTCTATGCTGAGAAGGGAAGGAAGTGATCAGCCTATGACTGCGACTCACCGGGGACACAGAAAAGCAGGAGCCAATCGGGGCACAGCAGAATGAAGCTGGGGCTGCCAGACCTTCCAAAGGCACCAACTGCTCCCATAAATTAAAGGAGTGTTGCCTCCTGAGTGTGTGATGTGTGGGAGCTTTCTGTGCTGAATCTTATAAAGCCAGCCAAGGGTCTGCTGAAGCTAACCTGGGCTGCACTGAGCTCAGCCCAAGATGGAACAGGAGCCAACCAGCTCTGGGGGAATGTGTGCATCACACATGGGGCCTGATTGCCATTCCTATCCACTCTCCGTTCATGGAGAGGAAATAGCTCACCTTGGTTCTTCTTCTTCATCTACATAAGAAAATGATTTTTCTGGTAAATTGTATATTTGAGATAAATTACTTTGAAGTCACTAAAGACTTTAAATTTATGCTGACCGCAAACAACAGTTCATGGTAAAGGAGTCTTGCAACCATGAGACCATCAGGGTATTTTTAAGTAAGAGATTTATTTATTTATTAAATTATTTTATAGTAAATTTCTTGCTGGATCGGCATGGTGGTGCAAGCCTCTAATCACAGCATTCAGAGGCTGAGGTAGAAGTGTCTTAGTCCACTCAAGAAAATTACAGACCGCCATGCACATGAAGCCAAGCAAGAGTCCTCTACTTAAACTGGTGACTGAGAACAGGCTCCTGTCATAAAGAACTCAACTTTCAACCCCAATGCTTTTTTACAACAGATCATTCTCAGCAAGGCAGGAGGAACCTCTTGATCTGTTGAGCACTTCACAAGCATTGCTTTTCAGAAGAAAGGAGAAGCCTCATTTGTCTGTCACGCCGGATCTGGAGGGGAGAGGTAGGTCAGAGAAACCTGCTTCTCTGAAACCATTTCAGGAGGAATCTCAAGTTCAAGAACAGCCTAGTCTCTGTCATGAGTCTCATGCTATCCTTTACTATAGAAGGAGAAGCTAACTCAAATAGCAAAAGTGTAAATAAAGACATAAGTCTTTCAGCATTTCCTTCATCATAATCCATGCAACCTCCAACAAATCATGCCCTTCTCCATAAGAGGACAAATGCCTGCAATAATAGCCTACTTCCCCTCTCCAAACTGGAATTTATCAGCTTGCCTGAGGCCCAAGCACCAGAGCACAGGGCCCAGAAAAGTTCAGGTAAGGATTTCACTAAGGAGAAATCAACAAGCTGTGAAGACACTCGGGACCTCAAGGACCAAGATCCGGAAAGGGCATCAGATATAAACAGGTTTAAAGCTGTTTGACAGTAAATGAATTCAGGACCAGTGATGTGCCGCGACCCTTGTTACCACACCTAACAGCTTGATTTCAACCCACAAGACCCTCATGGTGGAAGGAGAGAACAGACTCCCACAGGTTGCCCTCTGCTGTGGGAACTCCTTCAGCCAATAGTCTTTAAGATATAAGCCCACTTTGGGCGTGGTCTCATGAACTATAAATGCAGACGAAAAGCATGTGCAGGCCCCTTGGCTACTGGATTCGGTTCCAGTTCCCAGAGCTTGCAGAGGACTGTAGATCGCTACTCTGTGTGAGTTTGTTTCTAGATAAATAAACCTTTGCTATTCTCCATTCTGGGCTATTGTGGAACTAATTCTTGTACACTAACAGCCCTCTAATCTCTAAACTCAGCAGTGTGCACACCCTACACACACATACAAATTCAATATAATATATATTTTTATATAGGTAATTTCAGTTATGCTCATTGATCTGGCCACTGTCATTACTAACTCCCTAACCTCAGCACTAAAAATAGTGCCTCGCGGGCATGAGAGAAGCAGGGTGCATCATGATGAAAGAATTACTCTGTCACGGGTCAAGGAAAAGGGACATGTGCAGATGATGCAGGCGAGAAACTATTGTGTTCAGTGCCTGCTGTGGCCACTGGGGTCTGTCTGTGGAATTGACTGAGTATATTATACATAAAGAACAAAGACTACCATTTCTTTTAGCACTCTCTGAGCTTCCTAACAGGAAAGGGAAGTGTGAGTGAGCATGTGTGTATTTGATGACTTGAAGACACTGAAGGTTCGTTGACATACAAAGCATTTCACATACAGTGGTTCAGTAAATGGCTCTATCAGCCAACTGTGGTCTGACTCCAGGTGGTGGGCCCTTGGCTCTCCATCTCCCGCTATGCTTTTTACCCATAAGACAATCGCGTACAAAGACAAGCCACTAAACCAACGCCTTGCAGTAGGCTTTCCTCTTGAGTTTGCATTTTCCCCTGACTTAGGAAACTTCTGGAAACAACACTTTATATGACAATTCTTGATTCAACTTTTGTCAGCCTCATACCAAAGCTTGAGATATATATCCTAGAAGTTAAACCAAAATGGAAAACCCCACACACAATCTCCCTTCCTGCTGCATATGATAGGTTTACCGCTCACACTGCACCCTGGTGTTCAGAGACCCACACACAGCATCACGGTGCAGAACTACGCTGGGCTCATTTTGTTGCTGTGATCAAACATTCGGACCAAAAGAAGCTTGGGAGAAGAAATGGTTTATTTGGCTTCAAGTCAGAGCCAGAAGTTCAAGCAGACGATGTGGGAACTCAGAGCTTTGTGCCACCTTCGCTTTCCAGCTCAGGACCAGGAAGTAGAGAATGGTCCCACTCACACTGGGCTAGGTCCGTCTACATCAATTAATAATTAAGACAATTCCCTGCACACATGTCTACAGGCCAAAATAACTGGGGTAATTCCTCAACTGAACCTTCCATCTGAGGTTGACGCTAGGCTGTATCAAGTTGGCAGTCAAACCCAGTGAGGACAAGAATCAAGAGTAAGCATGCTGGGGTCTGCCACGTAGCAGAAGAACACGGGCTGCCGGACATCAGTTTCCATGTTCTTGATGTTCAGTACGTATGCTCTCGGTCCTGATAGCCAATCTGGCATGCTACTTTTGGGGTAATAGAGAGTATGCAAAGGAGCTGTGGTTTAACGTCCTGTCTGCAGAGCCTGAGATCTGAAAAGGCGGGATGCTCTCGCCTCTCCCAACTTTACACATACAATCATATCTGACAAAAGTATAAGCAGTTTTCAGAACCAATTTTAACAATGAATTTACACTCAGATACATGACATGTTACAGGCTTCCTTACCCAGGAGGGAAACCAATCCTTTCGCACAAGCATGCTGACCAGGTAAGAGTTTGGCCTGCTTCTAGAACACGGTGCTGATTTGCAGAAGCATGCAACCTAACTCTCGTCCAGTTCTTTGCAGACACAGAGATGACTGCAAGAACCTTTCCAATCCCAGGGTAGCAATGAAGGAGCCAGGGTCACACAAGCTGGTCCAGGCGGGGACCTCTACTGTGGCCCTAAATGCTCACCAGGATCCCGCACTCAAAGCCTGACAGGTGGCAGAGAACAGTTCTAAGTGACCCCGCCCAGTTCCAGCCTGGCCTCCAACACAGGCAAGGTTTGTGACCCTTTAAGAATCCCAGCGTTTTTCAGTCATTGACACTCACAGACGCTGCAATAGACATGAAGTCACAGTCAGATGTGCAAGTCTTCCCCTACCCAGTGAACAGACGGCAGAGAGCAAGTTTGCTTGTTTCAGCTTCACAGTGAACCTGCTTTATTGGTGTTCAGGAGCTAACCGTGGATTGGAATGAGCTGACTGATTTGCTTAGGAATCTTGCAAGCCAGTTTTTAAGTCAGCCCTCATTAAAGATAAAGTTAGATAAGTGTAAACAAACTGTATCCAAAGAAATGTTAGGTATCAACTCCGGGCATTTCCTAGTTAGACTGCCGGCTCTTGAGATACTAAGTATCGATGTCATCTGTCTGGCGGAAAATGCAGAGTGGCAGGCACCGATTACTCCGCAGCTAGTGATGTCACACCATAGCCTGGCATCAGCGGTGGTGGGGACATTTACATGGAAACGAGCAGACATAAATCAGGTGCCCTCTTCAGAGAGCCAGTTAACAGACAGAGGATGTGAGCACGCCACCCGCGTGGGCTTTCATCTTAGGCTTCCTGCTCTGGTATCTTTCATCTCCCCTCTGTACAGTTCATCTGCGCACATATGGGCTTGCACCCCACACACGAAATTTAAAATAAAAATGCAAACAAAAGCCTAACATATTCTTCCGTTTAACATCTTTTCTACCCATTACGTCACTGCTGGTTCTAGTGAAATCTTTCCTTATGGTTGATTGTTCACGCCAATACACTCTTACAGCCCCCTTATTTTTTTTAATCTTACAAATATTTAAATAACTATTAGTCGAAGACTGCATTAAGAACTTGGATTCAACTGCCAAAAAGAGTTGAATGCAAACTTCCATCCTCAAGATGTTCAGTCACTCCGGACTAACTTCCCAAACCACCATGGAAGTACCCAACCCACAGCCAAGACCTTGGGGGACACAGGCTGTCCCAAAGGGCTCTCTCAGACCTTCAGATATGCAGACAGTGTGGGCTGCAGCACCCACCGGGCAATGCACAACACAAGAAAGGAATGTGTACGCACCTCATGAGGGACCACACTGCTCCTGGGGACACAGGGAACCTGCGGCTCTTGGGCTCTGGTGGCACTGGTGAATGGCAGCCTCCCCAAACGTCTCTGTGTGGGAAGCGCTGTTTTCTGCTCTCACGGTGGGGGTGGGCATGGTGAGAGGAGGGCTGGGAGTTGCCCGGCTGCTGTGGGCTGTGCTGACAGATCACCCCATTGCTCCTGGTAGTTCACAGAATTGAGGAAAAATCAAGTCAGACAAAATGGCAAGGCTTGTAACAGAAGAAGCAGCCACCCTTGCTTCCCTAGCTGAGGCGCCTAAAAGGGTGTATTTTCAGATCCCCCAGTCTCCCGTGTCTGCTATCTGCAGCTGTCTACTTTCAAAAGCATAACTGCACAATCAGTTTTCCTTTCTCAGTTTTATTTTTACCGGCACATATTCACTGTGCATGTTGCTAGGTTGTGTGAGGATATTTGCATGTAAGTATACGATGCTTTTTACCATACTCCCCCATACCCTCTGACTCCCACTTCCCTCTCAGTTTACTCCTCTTCACTCCCGAGACAGTCCCAACTGAGTCTTATATGCATGCATACTATATAAATATAAATATATATACATACAACTATAGAACCCACAAATGAGAGGAAAATACATGATAATTGTCTTTCTGACTTAATTCACCATGTACGATGACCTCCAGATACACCCCCATTTTCCTACAAATGATATGATTTCTTTCTTCCCTACAGCTGAATTCCATCGTATATAAATTCTACATTAACTTTACAGAGTCCTCTCTGTTGACAGACATCTAGGCTGATTCCATACCCAGCTGTTGTAACCTTAGTGCTGTAGTAGAGATCCATATGCGTGTCTCTGCGGTATGTTGACTTGGAGTCTCCATATCCAAAAATGCTATAGCACGGTTATATGATAGTTCTATCTTTGTTTATGTTTGTTTGTTTTGCTTTGCCTTTTGTTGTAACCGCCATTCTGTTTTCCACAGTGGCTAGGTTAGTCTGCATTCCCACCAGCAGTGCGTAAGTGCTCTCTTGTCTCCACAACCTCACCAACATTTGTCACCTGTTTGCTTCATGACTACATGTAAAACGGTAAGAAACTAGGGTTTGATTAGAGAAGAAACTTCTACAGGCTTGAACTTCTGATACCCCCAGTCACACTTAGCATCCTCACACAAAACAAATGGACCTTTACAGTTGAGGAGGAAAGTGGATACTCAACAAGACTTCCCTTTAACTAGAAAATTACATGGCCTGTGAGTGAGAACAGGAAGACACTGGCTCCAACCAACCTCCTAAAGCTCTTTAGGTCACACAACTCGAGCAAGCAAACAGGCTTCATGTTCAGGGAGCTCGCTCATGGGTAACAGCCATCAGAACTTGGGGATTCAAGACAAGCTGCTAACACTTACCAGATCATAATATGACTTTCTCTGTGAAGCAGGATTCCCTCACCAGGACACAACCAAAAGGGCAGACTGGCAGTTCATACAGTTTCTTTCCACTCCAGATGCGACTGTCTTAGAAGCCATGAGCCAGAAATCCCCTTCCCCTTTCAAGCTACGTTAGTCAGGTTCATCACAACAAGAAAAGGAGCCAAGATGACAACGAAGGTTGGAAATGACTTACAACTTATCCTGCTTGTGGGACGGGGAGAAGAGGTCGTAAACCAAGCACACTCCAAACACGGTCACGCCGGTCTCCTTGACCAGCATGGCACAGGTCCCCAGGAACAAACTGAGCAGCAGAAAGAAGGGAGAAGCCGTCGGGGGAACGCTCTGCTCTGCACAGCCCCGATCCAGACTCCTGCAAAGCAAGTCAGGCATTTCCTTATCAACACATGGAATACCACGGGACAGTACCTGTCAGCCAGGTATCCAGTGCAGAACAAGGCAGGGAACATTCACCATGCAACTATTCAGAACTGTTAAGACAGTGGGGCCAGAGAGATGGCTCAATGGCTAAGAGCTCTTCCTGCGCTGTCAAAGGGAGTTTAGTTCTCAGAACCCACATCCTTAGCTCAGAACCCCTGTAACTGTAGTTCCAGGAGATCCTATGCCTTCTTTGGGCTTTCTTAGGAACACACACTAATGTGCATGGACACACACACACACACACACACACACACACACACGGATATATTTAGTAGATAGTAAGATGTTTAAGTGAATATGTTTCAAGCAAATAACACACACTCCTAACAAGTATTCATTGACCGAGAAGTCAAATTCCCTGGTACAAACCACGAATGTGCAGTAAGCAAACAGAATATCAAAGCCCAGAAATGGGAGAATTAGCATGGTAGTGAGGTGCTGTGGGGGGATAATGGTCTTGTACATTGCAAATGTTTGTCACTCATAGATTTCATAGCAGTGTTTGCACGGTTAGGAATGCAGTAGGCAGTATCAAAGATGGGGCCTGGAAATCAATACTATACTAGTCTGGCTCCATCCTCTTCACTCCAGACCCCAGGCCTCCGCTGCACTATCCTGGCTTCCTCTGCCTTACTGGTATCTCCCTGGCAGATTATTCTTTGTTGTGGGGTCTGTCTTATGTGCTGCAGGGCATCTGTCCAGGGGCATTTTACTCTCTGTCTACTAGGTGCCAGTGGCACTTCTCCAGAGGGACAACGGAGATGACTGACCTCACAAGAGCTCTGGCCTAACGAGTGCTGTCAGACAGTAATGGATTCAAAGTCTGAGCAGAGTACTGGAAGGTGGAAGAAATGGGGAAGGCGAGGCTTGCTTGGAGGAAGTGGGCATTGAGAACATGTCCTGGGGTGACCACAGGAAGTGGGCATTGAGAACGTGTCCTGGAGTGACCACAGGAAGTGAGCATTGAGAACGTGTCCTGGGGTGACCACAGGAAGTGAGCATTGAGAGCGTGTCCTTGGGGTGACCACAGGAAGTGGGCATTGAGACTGTGTCCTTGGGGTGACCACAGGAAGTGGGCATTGAGACTGTGTCCTTGGGGTGACTACAGGAAGTGGGCATTGAGAACATGTCTTTGGCCGGGCGGTGGTGGCGCATGCCTTTAATCCCAGCACTCGGGAGGCAGAGGCAGGAGGATCTCTGTGAGTTCAAGACCAGCCTGGTCTACAAGAGCTAGTTCCAGGACAGGAACCAAAAAAGCTACAGAGAAACCCTGTCTCGAAAAATCCAAAAAAAAAAAAAAAAAGAACATGTCTTTGGGGTGACCACAGGAAGTGGGCATTGAGAACGTGTCCTAAGGTGACCACAGGAAGTGGACATTGAGAGCGTGTCCTTGGGGTGACTACAGGAAGTGGGCATTAAGAACATGTCCTTGGGGTGACTACAGGAAGTGGGCATTGAGAATGTGTCCTAGGGGGTGACTACAGAAAGTGGGCATTGAGACTGTGTTCTTGGGGTGACCACAGGAAGTGGGCATTGAGAAAGTGTGTCCTGAGGATGACTATACCGCGCTCTGGACCTGTTATTGCCTTGCTCTATCTCCTGTCTGCCATAAGGTTAAGTATTCACTTCTGCCAGCTCTTGCATTCTGTCTGGATACATGGGCCAACCAACCATGACTAAAACTTTCAGCCAAAATAAATAATTCTGCCTTTAGGCTGTTCTCTCAGATATCTGGACCACAGGTATGCAAAAGTAGCTCTTCTACAAGAGGAAGAAGGGAAATTGTTGCTAATTCAATGTCACTGGTTTAGAACAGTATTCTTAAAAGTGAATCATGGGGCTTTGTAAGTTATAGGTCATCAAATTGATCCAAAGGCCAAGTTTACATATTCCCAGCCAGTATCTCTCTATGAGGTCAGTTGGTATAGTTGACCTGGCGTCTTTAGGGAGACATCTCGAGTGCTCTGTCCCAACTCACATTTTCCTAACTCATTTTTCTCTGAATATGGATGTCACAAGTCAGTTAAAAATGCCTTCGCTTTGGGGATAATGGCGCAAAGCAATAGAAAGCGGTTTCCTGTACGCTGACCAAAGGATTCTAAAGTACAAAACTAGTTAAGAAACAACGCTTCCTGGCCAACCTTGTTGTGTGACAGTGAGTGACTGCTGTAAGAATAACAGAAAAAACAAAACAGGAACAAAATGAGGATCAATTAGACAAATCAAAGGCAAACAGAACAGCACTGCAAACACGACTCTCCAGCTATTCCTGTTCGCAGCTAAAGTTTCACTCTCGGCCAGGATCAACAAGCAAAAGAATCCAGAGCTTGGATTCCCGGCGTGGGGACGGTGGTCTTTTAAAGCCGATGCGAGGGGTGGGAGATGGCTCCGTGGGGAAAGTGCCCGCTGCACAAACAGACCTCTGAGTTTGATCCTTCACATACATTAAACAAACAAGACGCAGACAGAAGCCTGTTGTATTCACAGCACTGGGCAGTGGGGACAGGCAGATTCCCATCAGGTTTGTGAGAGACCCTGCCTCAAAAGATAATGTGGAGAACAATTGAGGAAAACATGCACGTGTGAACATGTACATGCATGGATGCACGCATACCTGCACATTCACACGCACACATACCCACACACACACACATACACACACACACATACACACACATACATACGCACACATACACACACACATGCACACATACACACACATACACACACACACACACACACACACACACACACAGGGGATATTAAATGCTTCAAAAGTAGGATTGGAAGATAACAGGTCTGCACTCGGTAAAAAGAGGGTTTCTCTCCCCGACACCCACCGAGCATGTTACAGTCCACACAGCCTCTCTCTGGTCAAGCAGGGCTTTAATGTATATGTGGCAATATGTGACCAAACCACAGAAGGGTTTGCTTAACCCCACTCACCTATGGTAGGAAAGAAAGGCCAGCAGGAACAGCAGACATGCTAACACATCGGCTCTGCCCACGATGCCAGCCACCTAGAAAGTATAACACAACGAAAAATGTAAAACTTGGAACATTATTGTCACGGTATCTTGTGGAAATGCATTTGATTTTGGGAACAGCACAGCAGAAAGCCTATTATTTACAGGTGGCAACCTATGGACTAAACCCCTGACCACCTCTGATGACAGTGTATGCTCCATGGTACAGTTACAGAAAGAGAAAAGGGGAAACAAAGGGACTGAGTTTCCATACTTAACCTGCTTCCTTGGTTCTCTTTCACAGAGGATCAATGCTCAGCATCAAAGTCTGTTCAGTTCTTGACTTATTAAAACACACTTTGAGGGTTGTGGGCTTAGCTAGACTGTACAATGCCCTGGGCGTGAGTCTCAGAGATCCCCAGCATCACCCATGAGTGTCAAGCTCATGTCTGTACTCATCATGGAGAGTGGGGCAGTGATGGGCCACAGAGAACTTACAGAGTGGAGGGAAACCAAACGCTGGGAAATCAATGCTTTTAACGAGAGGGACTCCTGATTGCAAGAGAATACATGTTCGTGTGTGCGAATGCATTGCACAGATACATGTCTGTGTGGTTTCATAGGTCTGTCGATGCCCCACAATGCACTGCCCCACCTCAGAAAAACACTGGCTCCCCGGAAAAGAGTCTGATCCTAAGGCTGAGGCTCAAGGAAAGGAGCATAATATATTATAAACCATTGAAGAAACAGAAATCCACAGTCCACACAGATGACAAGTGGGTGATGAAGGTTACACATGTATAAACACACACAATGAACGAGGGAGACTCTGCCCGGCTAAAAAGCCAGTCGGCGTGTGTGTCTAGAACAGTCAGGCTGGAAATAACCCCTGGCTTCTAGAAGAGTAAAGACAAGAAGCCAGAAACAGCCATCGAGCTGGGCGGGAACTCAGTTGTAATGCGTTCATTCAGCAAGCCCAAGGCCCTGGGTTCAATCCTCAGGACCACTAAAACAAACATAAACAAGAGAATAACAGATGTTAACCCTAGGGTAAGTAAGCTGTTTGAGATGCAAGTATCTACATGACTCCAGAACATATATTATTAAACAAATGTAGACTTTAAATTATAGCATATCAGTCTGAATTAGGATCTTATTACATTTGTGTTACATTGTATTCTATTTATCATGATCCTAATTATGTTACTACTTATAACTAAGAATAAGATAAAATCATAACCTTATAGGTCTAGTGTATTACATATATGTACATTATATACTGATAATGATATTAAATTTATACATTTAAAATATATTATCTATTTGAATATAATATATTTTTATTTTCAAGGCAGTTTAATATACTATGCCTCTAAGAAGTATCTGTATTATGCATTATACAGTATATATTTATATAACATTTATAAGCTGCACTCAAATATATTAAAAACATTTTATATATCTTAATATAAGTTCCAAATCATACTGAAAATTTATGTATTATGTGATAAAAAAGACAGTGCTCAGGACTAAAAGAGATGAAACCAAAACCATGAATAATTCTCCCCATGCTAGGAAATACAGAACTGAATTATTGATGTGTGAAGGAGCATGAATTATGCAGCCCTCTCTAACTGCTTCAGAAAACAAACAATATTTTTATATAGAGGGAGGAAGAGAGGAACGACAGCACAAAACCAGCAAAAGTTAAAAATCAGCGAGCCTTGATAAAGGACACAGAACCAGAGTGAGCACTAAACTTGAAGTTCTCTTTAGACGTGCTGTCTGAGAAGCTGGAATGGGCATGTGGGGGCGATGAGGGATGCTTTACAAACCCTAAGTTACTGTCTCCATAAGATGTATCTCTCTCTCTCTCTCTCTCTCTCTCTCTCTCTCTCTCTCTCAGATATAAAACTGTAAAGGAGAAACAGGAACACAGCTTTTAAAGTATTTCTGTTCTAGTTTGCTTTCTATCGCTGTGACAAAGGACCATGACCATGACCTGAGGAAGAAAGGGCTTATCTCATCTCACAGCAGAACTCAAGGAAGAACCTGGAGGCAGGAACCAAAACAGAGGCCACGGGGACACGTTGTTCTCTGACTTGCTCTCCGTGACTTGTTCTCACACGTATCTGTTTCTTCTACCACCCAGGACCATGTGCCCAAGGATGGCATGGCACCCAGTGCTCTGGGCCCTTAAACATCAACCAGCTATCAGGAAAACGACTGGCCTTCGGGTCAAACTTATGGGGCACTTTGCTAACAAAGTGCCTCTTCTCAGATGACTCAAACCAACCAGTACAGCATCCCCAGGAAGAGCTGGGCCAGGAGTCATCTACACGGGAGATAAGGAAGGCTGATCCCTCAGGCACAGGAGACATTGTCTCCCACGTCAGAGAAGGCCCCAGGTCCATGTGCACGGCAGAATCAGCCAACATGAAGAGAAAATGATGTTCAGAGACTTGAACCACTAACATATTGTTATGAGCACTCTGTACTGAAACATTATCTAAATAATCTTAACAATCAAAGCCAGGAGCCCAATATCAGGGTAAAACCCAGAAGATCAGAGAACCAGGAGCAGCTGCCAGTTGCCTTGTGTCCTTCCTCAGTTCAAAAGGCTCTGGTCCTGCCTACACCCCAGCTTATCACTTCCTGTCTCCACCTCCCAAGTGCTGGGACTGAAGGAGTGAGCCCTGAGCACTGAGATTTAAGGTCTCTGTCAATACTGCCCAGCTAGCTCCTCCTCTGATCTGCAGGCAAGCTTTGTCAGAACACAAACAGAATATCACACAACGTACAGTCACACGAGAGGCCATGGCATTGGTGCGGAAGAGGCCCTGACTTCTGAAACCCAACCAAGGCCCCAGTTTGCTGTCTTAGGTGTTAACAACACCTGACGGCCGCTGCCGATGAGGTGACATGTGGAGGTTCTGTATCATGTAGGTTTGGAGAACTCTCACCCCCAGTACAGCACTTCCTGTGTGTGGCTATTGAAAACTATCCTACACGGTATCTTTCTCTAGCTTTATTGGGTAGCTTAGCATGCCCACCAGTTAAAAATCTAAAATCTATGTGTGTACATATGGATTCACAGCAGGTCACATGCTGGGAAAATTTCAAATCTATCCTATGAGAAACCTGAACGCAGTCCAAGAACCTCAAGGGCAGCACAGAGCTGAAAGCTGTGACCCAGCATGGCTGCTTGGACCATTAATTGGCAGTGTTCATTAATTGGTTAATCTATAAGGAGCCGGAGAGCAACATCCCAGAAGCCGCACGACTCCGGTGAGGCAGGCAGTGACAGTGTGCACAAAGGTATAAGGCCCCAGCTCAGATTCAGGCTGAGCAATGACTGTGCACATCACAGTTGAGGCTCCGATGGGCTCATTGGCCGCTGGCGACTTGGAACATTTGACTCAGCATGAACTCAAGAGAAGGTTGAGAAGACAGTCCACCTCACCTCCTGTGAAGCCCTGGGGCAAAGCCCAGAGGGACGCTCATCCCAGAACAAATGGTGTGGCCAACAGCAAGGCTTGCAAATTGATTCTGAGTATAGCAAAGTGAAGTACAGCAGTCACGAGTATGCAAACATAAAAACTGGTTCCTGCAAACTGTTTTGAAGCCCTGATCCTTACTCTGAGCCAATCTGAAAGGAGCAGAAGACTATGCCAGCTGAGTGCACCAAGACATAAAGAATATACTTGCTGGGTATGATGACTCATGCCTGTCATCCCAGCACTGGAAGGCTCAGGCAGGAAGGTCACAAGTTCAAGACCAGCCTGGGCTACCTAGCAAGCCCTCACCTCAACAATAACACCATAATGTAGAATCCCATTAGCAGAGGTTCAGAGAGGGTGCTCACAGACTCCTTGTGAGGCCAAACCACAGTGCACACATTAAATGCCTGCTCTGTACCCTGCTGAGCTGAGGTCTTGGGCAAGGTGTCTTAACATCTAAAACAAAGTAAGCATCCCTATCAAATGCTTGGCTCCATTGGTGTGAGACAATTCTGTATTCTGTCAATTATGTTTTAAATAAATGCTGATTGGCCAGTAGTCAGGCAGGAAGTATAGGTGGGACAACCAGACAGGAAGTAGAGGAGGATCAATGAGAACAGGAGAATTCTGGGAAGAAGGAAGCCCATTCCTCTGCAGTCCTGACCCAGCCACAGAAGAAGCAAGATGTGACTGCCTCGCTGAAAAAGGTACTGAGCCAGGTGGCTAACATAGACAAGAATAATGGGCTAATATAAGTTGTAAGAGTTAATAAGAAGCCTGAGCTAATGGGTCAATCAGTTTACAGTTAATGTAGACCTCTGTGTGATTTCTTTGGGATTTAACGATTGTGGGAACTGGGTAGGACAGACAACTCAAACAACAGGTACCATAAGCCAAATAGAGGGGCATTGCCTTCCTCCAGGACTTTGACATCTGTTGAAGTCAGAAGAAAGTATTAAATAGGACACTGCTAAGTTTCAAGCCTGAACAAAGGACTGAGGTGCCTAGTTAACATATCCAAGCAGACCTGGCTGCGAGGTTCTCCCAGCATCCCTCAGTTCCTACATGTTACAGTGTATGGCTGTGTATACCCTGTCCTCTCCCTGAACTCTTCTTCAGCCCAGGGAGTGGGCTGCCCTTCCCCCAGAGGTTCTTCCCTGGATATTACAGACATTTTGGTTACCATTCACCTCTTGTACCTTCCTATCTGCTACACCCAGTTCCCCTCTCTCCCTTCTCTCTTCCACTCCTCCTCCCGGACATACACACGGGGGCATGGCTCAGCCTGGACGTGTCTACTCTGGACTCTCCCAGATCCCCCTGCCTCTGACTGTGCTCTCCCACATAGCTACAGTAATCTTCTTCTCCACCACACGTAGGAGTTGTCATGTTCTTTCCTTTCCTTTCTTTCTTTACATTCAGACACAGGACTATGTATATCACAAGGAGCAATTGTTGCCAGGAAAGAAAAAGGATTCATTCCGGCAACAGGATCTGGGAAGTATCACAGAAGGACCAGCTCTGTAATCCAAGAGCTAAAGACAAGGCAAAGATTTCAGGAGTTTAAGACCAGGCAGGGTCAGGAAAGGCACTGACATGCATTCCTCCTGGAGGGTGGGAGACCCTGCGGTGGTTCCGGAGGGGGGGCAGAAGCGACAGTGCGTGAGCCGAGAATGACGAGCAGCAGAGATGGAAGGTGGTGATGGCGATGCCGTATTCACGTATACAAAAAGCAGCTGGACAACTATGGTGGGTGAAATGTAAGCACGTTCCTCGGCCACAAGGCCTTTATCTCTATGGGCTGTTATGTTAACACACTGTTAACACTCGGCAAAGTGCTAGTGAATATGGCTGAATAGAACTTAAAACCGATGAATCTCTCATACCCCAAATGCTTAGCACCAGAAATGCCTTGGAGTTTGGATATTTTTTTATTTTATTTTAAAATATCTTCATGTACGAGCTATGTGATGTCTTGGGGATGGGACCTAAGATTAAACATGAAATACACCTATATGTCTTTATACTTTCTATACACATAGTCTGAGGGTGAACTTGTACAATACTTTTAGCATTGCCATATTTCAGCTGTGACCTGTCACACGAGGTTAGGCGAGGAATTTCCCGCTTGTCAACACTCAAAAAGTGTCAGGCAGTGGAGAATTTAGAATTTGATATTTTTAGGTTAGGGTGCTGGAGCTGTCACCGACCTGTGGACCTGCCAGCCAGGATAACAAAATCACAGGTGGGAAATGCCCATTAGAATGCCATTTGCCTTCAGGTTATAATGCGCTATTTTAGGAATGCTGTCGATGGGGTTGGTACCAAGTAGATTCTGCACAGAGTTACAAATATTTATTTTATCTGAGAGAACAAGCTCCATTAGCATCAGACAGGACACGTGACAAAAGCCAGGAGCCAGCCTGACTGATTAGATCAGAACCAATTTTCTCCCGAGCCCTTCTGTTCTGGGTCTAGAAATGTCGGCTTTAACCTTCAAACTCTTCTTGGTGCCTGCTCTTGCTTTCACTTCTGCAAACCAAAGATCTCTATGATGACCAAATTTAAACTTTCATGGGACAATCACAATAATTTTCCATACTTTTTCCATGATTCAAAATTCAGAAAAGCATACGTTTTCAAAGAAATACAACATTGGGAAACCTGCCCAGGACTCTGCAGGGCTTAAATAAGGTAGTCTGAACCTTTTCATCCCCTGCCCTGCAGGACACTACCCCACTGTCCCCATAGGCATGCATTCAAATGCTCTGCTGAGAGATAAGATTAGTCAATGTGCCCCTGCATGCTCAAATGTGAATTAACTTTTCTCTCCTGTTTCTCTTATATTGATCTGTATGTCTACTCTCCAGCTTCCTGTGAGCTTGTGTATAAACTGGAGAAGGAACCCTGTGTCCCATTCCTGCCATTTATTGGCATGTACAAGCCCACCTACCCCCATTACCTATTTGTCAACTGCCTCACTTATAAATAAAAGCAAGCCACATCGGCATGCAGACACACAATCATATCGATGCATTGAAACAAAATTCCACCCCCAAATGTAAATTCTCCATCCTTCCTGGAATAACATATGGTCCTGTTTTCAGTCTTTTTTAACAAAGATGAGTGATTTCCCAAGGCTCCCATGTCTTAATGTGCATGTTTAATAATTTATCACTAATTGTCTACGGAGCACATTGCTTCTTCTGTCTCTCTGTCCTCCTCCCTAGAAGCTCGAGCTGCAATCTATAATTAAAGGGCAGACTCCACTTCACTTTCTAGTGTAAATGATGTGCTGGGTCACATTTCCTCTTCCAGCGGCTCCTTCATCCTACAAAACAAGTCTCTTCCAGGCTCCGTCTCCAAATAACGGCCCAGCTCTTCAAAACCTCTGCCTCTTTAATTGTGTTACTATGGATTTTTTTTATTAGCACAAAAGCCCCTGAAAGCCCCTGTCTAAAGGTCATTTTGCTAATAGGATTTGCCTTTTTTTTTTTTTTCTGGAATCCACCCTAACCACCATCAGCTCTTGGTCACACTGCCCAAGGTGGCCTCTCACACATACTCTCTCTGCTCAGCCATTGAATTAAAACTCTAATCATACAACTGGATGATCTTTCCCGTAGTAACTGCCCTCAAGTACAGTACAGCCCTGCAACTGTAATATACAAATCTGTAAACATATATTATCATCCTGACCTTCGATATGGCCCGTACTGCCAGGAACAGAAATCTCTTCTTTCCCTCCATAGCATGTCCACGAAGTGCATTGGAGAGTTAGGTATTTCTCATCTATTTAAGTTCATGCATAAAACCTACAAGCACCTTTTAAATACTAAAGAATCTAACGTCTCATGCACCATAAACACTGACATTTTAAAATTAGGCTGTATTAGACCCAAGGGAGCCTAAGCAGCTTCAGTTGCCCCATCTTTTGCCTAAACACTAGGGGTGTTTAATTCTTCTCTCATTTTTTTATTGAGACAACATTTCATGTGTCCTAGGTTGGCCTGGAACTCTGCACTCCATAGCCCAGGATAACTGAACATCTGGTCTCCCTGCCTCCACTTCCCAAGTGCTGAAATTGCTGGCCTAGGCCATTCTGTCTGCTAGGGAGAGTTCTTCTTTCAATGGAGACTTTTCAAGTCTTCCCTTCCTGTGAGCTTCCTCAGAGCTACTTCTCCGTCAGCATTTTCTCTTGATGCATTTAATGTTTAAATATATTTTGTTTATCACATTATCTCTCTATAATGAAAATGCACATGGATTCTTTTGGTGTGTGTGTGTGGGTGCTGCACGACATGGAACTCGGGCACTCAATCGCTCTACCACAGAGCTGTATCTATGGCCTTTAATTACATTTTAAATTTCCTGGGATAACCATAAATCTCTACATATTATATTTTAATTATGCATTAGTATTCTAGTTATAATTCACATCATGGTGAAAGTAGAAAAATGTTAAGTACTAGCCATGAAAGTGTGCACGTTATTAAATATGGTTAGTTGGGTATCTGTGGCTGGTCTACCTTCTCTCAGAAGAGTAAGAACGTGTACCACACAATTCTAAGTCTGGCCTCCACCTTTCAGATTGTTCCCATGGGTGAGAATGGAAGGATGTGTGTAACAGGCAAGGCTTAATGCTTTGGACTCTAGTGTAATGTTCTATGATCTATAATCTGACAATCATTCAGGTTTGGCTTTAATTTGGACAGAGACAATGAGTGTAAATACACCAGTCCTCATAGCAACCTGCCTTCAGAGTTTCCTCTCGCTGTAACATTTACAGGCATGTAGTAAACAGCTTCACAAGAAGCGCTGGAGGACCGTTACTTCCATGTCAAACTCTTCCACTTATAGGAACTTTGCCAAGTCTAATATACTCAGAAAGAGTTAGGAAAGCTATCTTAATGATAGAATTGTTTATAAAGTGATTTTTATCTGTCACTTCCCCCATACACACACACACACACACACACACACACACACACACACACACACTAGACATACATGTATATATACTAAATATATATACACACTCTTTAGATGAGATACGTATGAGACTACACATACACACACTACACACGCACACACACACACACACTTATTTGTCAAACCTCAAGCTCAGAGATTTACAATTCTGTTCACAGAAACATCACCATCACACACCAATTTGGCAAGACCAGCCCTCACTGTGATATTAATTAACTGAATCAGACTTCTCATGCCAGTTCAAATAAACCTTCTACGAGTCCTTATGGACACAATTTCTCTTCTGACTCAGAACTTCAACACAGAGTACCACCTGTATTTCCAAGTATTCTTCACGGAAATAGGAGCCCTTCTCTATGACTACGATGCCTTAATTGGCAGAGGTATCACAACACCAACACGTCAAACTGTCCTTTGCAGGGTCTCAGGCGTGTACTGCTGGGATGCGGTCAGATCCCAATGCGTGAGCATTCCTCATCCAAACAAGAAGGAAAGGAAAGGTGAGAAGAGATCCGGTGTGGAACTTTTACCAAAAGTATGCCCTTGGGCAGATCTTCAAGGAAGTGTCCAGCACCAGCAGAGGTCTCACAAGCCATTCTTTAGGAACCATGGTGCCCATCACCCACTGGAAGGCTCCATTCCCTGAAAACCTTGGTTCCTGGACCCCCATCAGAAAGCTTTTACCTACCCGTAGTAACACATATAAAAGAAATCAGCCACCGTTACTAAGACAAGACATTGTGGCTTCATGGCACTGTCTGGTGCTTGATGGGCCAAACCTTTTTGTTTGTTTGTTTGTTTTGTTTTGTTTTTAGAGATAGGGTTTTTCTGTGTAGCTTTGGTGCCTGTCCTGGAAATAGCTCTGTAGACCAGGCTGGCCTCAAACTCAGAAATCCGCCTGCCTCTGTCTCCCGAGTGCTAGAATTAAAGGCGTGCGCCACCACAGCCTAGCTAGGACCAAACCTTTTTTCAAGGGCCACAGATCCAAACTAGCAATACCTTCTAAACAAGGTCTTCCTCACACAAAAATCACTAGACCTCTTATCAAGGAACTCAGCAATTTCTAGGCCACCCAAGTCCATCTCTGTAACTTGGAAGGAAACAAAAGACGATAGGAACAGGCAGGAAGCCCTGCCCTCCTCAGTCTTTCCTCCAGCACCTGAGTTTCATAACATAAACTAGGCATGAAGTGGAGCAGGGATGATGACATCAGGGCAGCAGCCTCACCATGACCCCTGCCATCGAAAAGCACAGGGCGTTTAGATTATTTGCGAATAAAAAATGGAAGTGTCCTTTACCCCTGATAATACTCACAGCCTCAGTGCAAAGATGCAACTAAACCCTGGGCAGACCCCATGTGAACCACCTAAAAGTAGCCTTAACCAGCAGAAGGGTACAGGGGTCAAGCTGAACGTAGTGTGGGGCTCTCAATGCATGGGATTTCGAAGGGGGAGATGACTGGTTTAGCTGATAAATGCAGATAGATGCTTCACTGTTCACGGTGCCCATCAGACTCACCGCCTCCGTGTGGACAGGGTGCACCGCGAAGAGCAGGGCGGTGACAAAAGCCAGCCCGCGGTTCTTGAAGACGGTCTTATCACAGGTGTACATCAGCACGAGGGTCACCAGGCAGTGCAGAATGACATTCACCGCATGGAAGTAGAAAGGGTCCATGCCAGTCAGAAATATGTTTAGCCTGTGGAAATGGTAAAAATTAAAAACAGAGAAGTCTGCACGAGCCTTAATCACAATATAAGCACAAGAGATCCACCCCATATTGAAGAAGGCAAATTATTTGATAATAGCTTCCAGCGACTCTCAGCACTTTATGCTGTGGACGTTCCAGCTTTTTCTGACCTCAGAACTGACTCAGATCTCAGAACTCCAGAAATCAATGCAGAGACAGGGCATCGCTATTCAGGGAAGTTGGACGTCTCAACAGAAGGCAAACAGACAGGCATCACTCCATGACCTACGAAAGTCCTCCCTTCTTATTATTCTTGTGTTTACTTCTGGTGCAGGGGAGGATCCCAGGTGCTGGTGTCAGAGCCCTGGCCACTGGAGATGAACAGAAACCAGGAGACCGCAACTGTCTCTCAGCCAGGATGAACCAGGCATGAACAGATGCTCTCGGCCATGGTACCAGCAGGAACCGTGTTTCCGGATTCTCCATCTGGAAACTGAGTCTCATTGCCACCCCCCACAGGGCTCCTTAGCAATGCCTGCTACTCCCAGCTGCAGCTGAGACAACACTGAACAAGCTCAACACGAGGGTTCAGTATTTGTAGTGTTTTCCTTCATGTTTAATTATTTACTTTGTGTGAGCATGTCTGGGGGAGGGGAATGGAGCGGGCAGGTGCGTGTGTTCACCCATGTGTGCCACTGTGCACACGTGGAGTTGAGAGGACAACTCGTGGGAGTCTTTCTCACCCAAACAGAGAAGAAAGTTCTCTTTTTGCACCACGTGGGCCTCCAGGATCAAACTCAGGTCATCAGCCTTGGCAGCAAGCTTTTATCCATTGAGCCATCTGGATGGCCAGGGTTTGTTTTTTTAACACAAGCTCCCACTGATCTGAGAATCTAATTGTTAACACCATGATAAGCCAACTAAAAGGGAACCACAAACAGAAGGGAAATCGGGTGCTCAACGTCATAAAAAACACCTTCATGGCACCAAAACACAGAGCGGATAAATCTAGAGGTCACTTTTAATAACCGGATATAGTTCACAGCTAGGTCTGTAGAGCAGGCGTTCTCAGTCTCCCTAATGCTGTGATCCCTTAACAGTTCCTCATGTTGCAGTGACCCCCAGCCACAAAATCATCTTCATTGCTTCTTCAAAACTGTAACTTTGCTACTGCTGTGAGCTATAATGTCAACATCTGTGTTTTCAGATGGCCTCAGGTAACCCCCGTGAAAAGGTTCATTTAATCAATGGGGTCACGACCCACAGGTTGAAAACTACTGGTGTAGAAGGAAAAATATTTCCCAAACAAAACCTCTTGCTGGGCGTGGAGGCATAACCTGGTGATCCCAGCCCTAGAATGGTTGTGGGAAGAGGTGTGGATCTGAGACCAGTGTGGGCTACAGAGCAAAGCCCTTCTCAAAAATCCAAAAAAAAAAAAAAAAATACTCTTATCCAGGGTGTCTTCGGGGCAGTGTGCACGCAGTAAGTAGTTTGATGACCTACATCATCTGCCCTCTAGTTCATGACACCAAAACAGCAATCCTAGGTCTTTATCCTAGGGCTACTGACCCCCCACCCCACAAAACCACCCTTTGCCTAAACAACCAATCAAGAATGGACAAGTCACCCGTAGCGATGACATATGTGGGTTCTGAATAGCTGGCTTGGTTCATGCACGGCTTGGGTCTTCAAAACTCTAAACACCCCAAGTTTCACTTGGCCACGTGAATCTAAACACCAGCTACAGATTGTGGTGGTTTGAGAAATGTCCCTCCCACAGGCTCCTGTATTTGAACACCTGGTCCCCAGTTGGAGGCGCTGTTTAAGGAGGTCATGGTTAGGAGGCGTAGCCTTGCTAGAGGAAGGTACTCAAGTAGAGAAGGATTTGAAGGTCTGTAGCCTCCCTTCACTTCCTGTTCTCTACTCTGCTTCCTGTATGAAGATGAAAATGTGATCGTCCGGCTCCCTGTTCCAGTCAGCTTGCTTCTGTGTTTCCCCCACCACTCTAGACAGCATCCCTCTGGAACTGCAAGCCCAAATAAACTCTTTCTCCTACAGCGAGGGGAGATGGTATTTCCCAGAGCAAATGGGCTAGCAAGACTAGCTATACGGATGAGCTCTAAGTCTAGGGAGCAGAGGGATCCCTGAATGGATGTGCATTTTTGACACTGGCATGGCCAGGCCAAGGCCTCCAATGCCTCAGCCCCATGGAAATGGCAAAGCCTTACCCAGCTGATGTTCACCTACAGAGACTTCTCCTGTTCTGTATCTAATAAGCATATGGAAGGGTTGGGCGGCCAGGGGTGGTAGGTGACTTCCATCCAAGTGAATGCCCCTCTGATCCCCGTTTTCCTGTACCCACATCTGTATATCTGTCCTTTCTTCATTCCCTCACTGCTCATACTCAGGGTCCCAGGACTGTAGCAGTGTAGGACATGGTTTCCAGGTTTGACTGAGACAGGGTCTTAATCAATAATGCAGAAGGATGAACTAAAGGTGATCGATTCCTGGCATCAATCTTGGACTTGCACTAACATATTTATACACACAAAAAAACCCTCATAAAATAACAAACAAGATCTAGAAATCATATTTAAAAAAAGAGATGTGAGTTTGAGACAAAACACTAGCAAAATTTTCAAACAGAACCTCTGTGTGAGCAGAGAACACAGTCCCTGGTTCTGGAAGCCGATACGGGTGCCAGAAGAAAGGGTTAACTGATTAAGTTCCATAATTTAATAGAAGAGGAGCTGTGATGGATGCTCTGCATCTATGTCCTAACAGAGACATTCATCAAAATATCCTGAAGTCTACCTGCATACATGGCAGCCCAGGGAGGATTTGCAGCCAACACGGAGACTAATACATCAGTGTCCTCCAGGACTGATGCCTGTCACAGAACCCTAGTGTCATCTCTGATCTGCCCAATGTCGCTGCCAGCAGCTCGGTGAAACTACAGAATCCACACTCGCGCAGGTTACACACTGTTTGTGCTGAGAAGGGGAAGGGTCCACTGGAGACTCACTGAGATTCACGTGCAAAGTGACCACAGGTGTTCATGTCAACACTAGGGCAGGGGCTAAAACACAATGGGCACGAAGAGGAACAAAATATGCGCAGACAGACCAGAACTGTGCATATACTATGGCCCAGAGGGAGTTGTTACCCTGACCTGAGAAAGTTAACGTTCTCCAGCCACTAAAGCAGGACAAATCACCGACAGAGAGAAAAAGAGCCACAGAACTCAACAGTTTGTCATTCCAGTTCATTCAACAAGATTTGCTAGGTGCTAACCACAGGAGGCAGGGACAAAGAGAAGATATGGTGTTTACTCTTTTCTTTCTTTCTTGGTTTTTGTTTTTTATGATGGCACATGAGATTTTTTTTTTTTATAAAAAGACAGAATGACTACTATTTAAAAAACAAGGAAGTATCACCATGCAACTACAATGTAAAGTACTATACACCAAAGAACAGAAGCCCTGTCCCTCAGGGACTCAGTCAGCTGACACCTCCAGCAGCTGAGATTTCAACCTTCAGAGGAAAAGAACCAAGAAGGCCTCAGCTCATAGCACTGAAGTGTGATAGCCTGTCTGGATCATCAACTCGATGGAATTTAGAGTCACTTAGGGGGCATAGCTCTGGGCCTGTCTACAGCACCATTTCCTGAAGGGTTGAGGGGAGACGCTCACCCCCAAAGTGGATGAGTCCTCCAAAAGAGAGTCCTAGACACAAAGAGATCCAGAGAGAAGGCCGCAGGAGTCTGCCTGCTGCTGTTTTTTTCCCCCGAGTGAGCCCTTGGCTGACCTCGTAGCTTCTTTTGCTTTCCAATGAGGATTCATCCTGAGCAGCTCCTCAGGCACCCTCCAGACCTCATCACAGTGGGACTGCCTAGGCATCTCGCTTCAGGGACAGAACAGCTGCAGGGTTCTCAACGTCTCCAGTTTGCAGGTGGCCCTTGTTACCCAGCCTCCACCTATAACCCAACCTAACAACCTTATGCTAAGCACACATCCTATGGGTTCAGTACTGCTAGGAAACGCCGATGCAGCTGGTAAAAATTTAAAATAATACATCTGCTGGATGACCCAAACTGTCCACAGGAGTACAGTGACAGTCCTTTGACACCATCTAACCAGAACAGTGTCTCAGGTTCCAGGTCACCCAAACAGAACCTCCAGGAGGCCCTCATTAACAACTGTCTTCGGGAGTTACAAGCAATTTTTCAGAGATTTAAGAAGCTAATTTTTCTCCATCACTGAAATCCATTGCATTCAACACACAATAGATCCTAAAAGAAGTCTGTTGAATAAACAAATGAATCTCAATTACACTGGGAGTCAGAAAAACCCAGCTTTCCCTTTCAGCTCTAAGAACCCTATATTTTATTTGGTTTAGACTTCATTTCTCATTTAAAACTCGGCCGAGCAGTAGGAAATATATTTTCTTCCAAAATAATCTTTCCAGGAATCTCTGGTCATCAGTTTAATGGACTCCCCCTTCCTCTTTGGAACGGGCTGTCTTCCTACACAGACATGGGTCTCGAAGCTCAACGGAAGGCTAACAAATGTGACAGAAAACTGTGCTCAGCAGTAAGCCTCCTTTTCCGATCAGGAAAAGGGGGTTTGCACCCCTTCATCACTGTCTCTTTTGTGCATATGTACATGTGTGCAGAGATATGGATGCATGTGCATTTGAAGAACCTTAGCTGTCGTCCCTCAGGTGCCGTCCACCTTGCTTTTGAGACAGATCATCAAGCAGGTTGTTTGCCGACCAGGGAGCTCCAGAGATCTGCCCGTCTCTGCCTCCCCAGTACGGCGTTAATAAGCATAGTACTGTGATAATAAGCATGGTACAGCGATAATGAGCATGGTACCGCAATAATAAGCATAGTATCACGATAATAAGCATAGTATTGCTACTATGCTTTCTTTTTTTCCTTTTCTTTTAACATGGGTTCTGGGAGATTGAACTTGGGTCCTTATGCTTGCAAGGCAAGTGTTTTTACC